ACTCTCTTGTCTCACACACACACACAGACTCTCTTGTCTCACACACACTCACAGACTGTCTTGTCTCACACACACACACAGACTCTCTTGTCTCACGCACACACACACACAAACACACAGACTCTCTTGTCTCACACACACACACTCTCTTGTCTCACACACAGACTCTCTTGTCTCTGTCTCTCTCTCACACACACACACACACACAGACTCTCTTGTCTCACACACAGACTCTCTTGTCTCTCACACACACAGACTCTCTTGTCTCTCTCTCTCACACACACACACACTCTCTTGTCTCACACACAGACCCTGTTGTCTCACACACACACATAGACACACACAGACTCTCTTGTCTCACACACAGACTCTCTTGTCTCTCACACACACAGACTCTCTTGTCTCTCTCTCTCTCTCACACACATACACACATACACAGACTCTCTTGTCTCACACACACACTCATGAACATTGTCACTATCTCTCACGTACACAACTCTGTGCACATCCTCATCTTCTGTAATACTCAGTCACTCTCTCAGTGAAGATTTCTGAACTCTTTATTTATCTGGTTCTGTTCTAGGGATCCCGCAATAACTTGGCAGAGTCAAGGGGTTTGAGTGCCAGTAATGTGGATCTCTGTAATCATTCCTCTCTCCTTGAGCAGAACTAGCCATTTCAGGGAGTGAGGGGCAGCTGATCCTTATGATGAAGACACCTGGAGTCAGGGACCTGTTGAATTGCTGCAGCCTGGATTTGACCTTAGCTCCTCCTCCTGACACATGTGGAACGTGATGCTGTACAGTTCATGTGAATAATCCAGAGTAGGGTCTGTCAGAGTGTGAAGGAAACCAGGCTGACGTGTCCAATCCATCACCATAACTCTCTCTTCTCAATGACAGTCAAAACAGGAGATGGTAATCAAAGCTGAGCATTAACAGGCAAAACTTTAGTCTGTACACATCACCCCACCGCACACAACAGCAACTCCATCTCTCTCCCTGTACTGCCAACTGCCTGTAAGCAGCTCCTTCTGTATACTTTCAGGAGCATATACAGTGTCTCCCCTAGACCATATTTTCAGCAGTCTGTACTTCCTCCACCTCCCTCTCCCTGTCTTCTCAGCTATTGGTATTGTCCTCATTCTATGCCTGTACGTTCAGCACACTGTGTCGCTTTCAGGTCTCCCTGCCTGTGTGTTCATCAGACTGTGCCCCTTTCACCTCTCCCTGCCTGTACAGCCAGCAGACTGTATCCCTTTCACCTCTCCCTGCCTGTACGGCCAGC